TACACACACACACAAACACACATACTTATATATTAATTTTGATATAAGTACCCTACTATACGCATATGGCAATAATGAACTGGCAAGTTGTACACATTCAGTACCTAAATATGCTCTCACTCTCTGTGTGTGTGTGTGTGTGCGTGAGCGCGTGCGCATGGACTTTTTACTTTCCCCTGGTCTCTGGGTCGTAAGATCGGATGTCTGGGCACGTAAAAAATCTCATGGCAGTTGATAATCGAAAAGAGTAGCCTAACAGCGCTGCCCGGGCAAAATTTGAAGCTAAAAATATTTCAGGATTCTCATCGGTGCTACAGAGTTTGTGCACTGCGCTGTGATTCTTTGGACTCAGGCTTCAGGCAGAAGTAGAATCGAGCACTAATGGATGATCCCTTGTGCTATAATGTTGATCTGTTGTTTAAACCTTAAACCTAAATAATAATCATATGCACCACTAAACATTATTTGTACATCATAAGTTTAGTCAGGCACTCAGTCAGTGCAACAAGCCACCCACAATATGCTGTGTATTTGGACTATGTGGGTGCATTATACCCATGCCTTTTTGTCATCATTATTGCTTCAATTAGGCAAACGCTATGATCTTCTGGGACTAAAAGAGTTGAAGCTTTAGTTCGTCTCCTTTTCTTTAAATTATTGATAGATGTGTGTTTATTTTCAAATGTACTTTATTTTAGTAGATTTCAAAAACAGAAAAAAGAAACCCTTTTTCAATGCTAAATAGAGACCATTAAATTGTTAGTGTTAAATTATGACCATTGAATTTTTAGTGTTTAATGAAGATTACTGATTTGTTAGTGTTTAATAGTGACCATTGAATTGTTAATGTTTAACTCTTTCAGGCCCATGAATTTTGACAGACATTAATTTCCCTTTACAGAAATGGCAGAGGGGGTGGTGTACAAAATATAGTTAGTAGGAAAGAAGAATTCTGCAGGTGTTAATTTCACAACAACATTTTACAAACAAATTCTTAACTTACTATGGTTTTGCAGCCCCAAGAGTAATGAATGTCTAAATTTGAGAATAACACTTTAAAGTTTGTTGAATTTCCTAATAAATTCCAAAGTTATGATAAGTTCCTGTGTTAGTTTAGCACTCAGGAGCTCTAAGTTCCCACAGAGTGCTGAAAAATAATTTCTGAGAAATTGGCAGAATAATGGAGACTTACACTCACAATATTTACTTTGTTCAGTTATATACAGACTGTTGCTGCAGTGATTTAAATGTAGCTTAGCCATAGTATAGTAGTATCTATTTGTTTAAAGCACTTTCCTTCTCTTACACCCTAAACATGGTAGCAATGGAACATTGTGTCAGACGACTCATCAGAATTGCTTAATTCCATAACAGTTGATTGTGTTTAATGGAGACCATTGAATTATTGGTGTTTAATGGAGACCATTGAATTGTTGGTGTTTAATGGAGACCATTGAATTGTTGGTGTTTAATGGAGACCATTGAATTGTTGGTGTTTAATGGAGACCATTGAATTGTTGGTGTTTAATGGAGACCATTGAATTGTTGGTGTTTAATGGAGACCATTGAATTGTTGGTGTTCAAAAATGACCATTAAATTGTTTGTGTTTACTAGACAAGATAAAACTATTTCCACTTTTCTCTGGCGTGTGTAACCATTTCTATTTGAGAGTACACACTAGACAAAATAAAATCATTTCCTGTATCTCTGACATTGGTAACCATTTCTCTTTAAGAGTACACACTAGAAAAGATAAAACTGTTTCATCTTTTCTCTGGGTGTAATCAGTAAGTGTGGATTTTCCTCATGTTTTTGCAAAAAATTTCATGTTCCGGGCAGTCTTATTGCTAAATTTTAACACATTATAATGTGGCTTTTTAATGTTGTTTTCATATTTAAAACATTTGGCTTTCTCTGGTGAAATATGTTTTTGTTTTGAAATGTTATCAATGCTTTCTTTTATTATATTCATAGTTAATAAACATTAGGCCTATATCCTACTTGACCAGTTGTATTTGTTTTAATGTGTATAAATCTGAGGTAAATGAGTGAAAATGTTATAATTAATACAGGCTGTAATCGATCGTCAATAGCTATTGCTGCCCATCAAGCAATGGATCGCAACTGTTACTCTCCACAACGCTTAACGGCAGAATTGGAAATTGATAATGATGGTGATTTTATAGATCATAAGATCTAGAAAAGCATCACATACACTAGTGGGCAAGACACATGATGTTAATGTTGATGGATGTGCCAGTTTGCAAATAACAGATGCTACAGAATTCCTGCAACATCCTGGATGAAAATTTAAAAAACATAGTACACGATCTGAACTGATCTTCTATGCTTATTCCTGTAATTTCTTCTGCCTATTTATGTTTACCTTTCCCTTCTCTTCTTCTTTCATTAACTTGTTTTATTTGTCCTTTACATTCTGCTGCCCTGCTCTTTCTTTTTCTTTCTTCTTTTCTTACCCTGCTGATCACTCTGTCTTCATCTCTTTTAGTTTATTTTTCAGTTTCTCTTCTGTCATCTTTGGCTGCTGCTTTTGTTTCTTTTCCTCTTCTTATATTTTTCCCTCTCCCTATCCTGATTGTTTTCCAACAGACATAGTTAACAACCACTTCTCTTACAAAATTGCCGTTTATCACCAGTTTCTCTGTTATATCATCATCATCCATAGCCTTGCCAGCCAGCGTAGGTGTTCATGCATCTCCACAGTTCTCTGTCTTTGGTATTCTGGATCAATTCCACTTATGATCTTCCTCTTTGCCACTGCATTAAACTATCCGCCATAATTTCTCTTGGTCTGCCTCTGCCTCTTCTACCAGTGATCTTTTCAGTCATCACAATATTTTCTAGGGCTCCTTTTCTCATCACATGACCAAAGAAATTTGTCTTTTTCTCACTGTTGTATATAATGTTCTACTTTCTTTAACCATGTCCAGGCAATAATTATTAGTTATGGCAGTCCAAGCAACATTCTTCTCAAGAACCACATCTCAGTAGCTTCTGAACTCTTCTTAATTTGTTTGCTCACATTCCAAGATTCACTGCCATACAACAGAACATGCTCGAGATAACATTTTAAGTACTCGTTTTCTGATGCTAAAAGAAAGTGATTTATTACATAAGATGCTTTTCATCATCTGAAATGTTGCCTTTGCTAGGCCAGTTCTGTTTTTAATTTATGTCACATGTCGTCCATCTGATGTTATGAATGTCCCAAAATAGTTGAATTTATTAACTTGGTTTAAGTACTTTCCCTTCTATTGCTATGTCACGTTTTGGAGTTATCTTCTTCTTTGATATAACCATTGTTTCTGTTTTCTTGACGTTCAAGGAAAGTCATTTTCTTGCACTCTCTAGTACCACAATGTCTAATAATTGTTGTATGTCTTCTGCTTTCTGTTATATGGCTCCATTAAATCACTAGTGAAGTGTACTATCACCCAATACCCTCAACTTCATTTTGATTTACTGAGTGTGCAGCAGGTAATAATAAGGTAAAAGTAAAGTTAATCTCCCCGTTTACACAGTGTTACACACTACCTTACTTCTGTTTATTTGACCTTCAATCTAGCTCACTTCTGATTGGTCAACCTTCAGCCATACGCCCTTGGCACAAGGTTATGGGGATGTTCCGCAATGCTGTTGATTACGCGTGTTCTGAATTTCAGCATGCCAGCGCTTTTAGCACTCCAAAACATCGACAAACAAATCTAACACAAAACCCCTCTAGAGAGTGATGAAATCTATGTCACAGGCATTCTCTTTCTCGGAAAAAACCCCCCACCTAAATGCAAGACATCCCAGAAAGTAAACACAAAGCGGCACACCCGTAACCTCCAGCAACACATTTACTAATGGAACGTGACCGCTTTGGGGAGACTAACGTTTGTTTAAATAATAATACCAGACCTGTGTAACCAGCACAGCTGCAGGCTTTACCGTTACCATGGACACAGTCTGATTACTACTGTAAGCAAAAGACTTTTTATAGCACTGGCTTAATGATGCAAACAGGGTTTTGATTAGGGTGTGTAAGACTCCTATGCAGTAATTTTTTTGCACCCTCTTTTCCCCTCAGCTAAAACGTTGTATTTAGAATGTTGCCGCTGCCAGATTGTGCAGGCTTTGACTTCACTGGTAAGTACTGTGAGCAGAGGACCCTTCTCACAGTCATGGCCATATGGTGCTAGCAGAACTGTATTTAGAATGTCTGGTCAACATCACACTAGGAATCTTCACTTCCCATGACATTTCTTGGGGTCTATTTTGGGCTGGGCCGATCTCGCAGTCCAGGTTAATTTGTAAAAATCTGCCTGAATGTGGAATCAAATCCACTACGTCTGAACCAGAAGGCTCGTCTAGTCACTGCCCTACCACAGATGGATATTAAAACGTGAAATCCACAGCTTCGTGATACATAAAGCAATCAGCTCAGTAGCTAAGCAATGAAACTTTTGGACTGCCGGTCCAGAAATGGGAAATTTGCAACAACAAAACCTAGCTGGAAACAAATCATTTTTTGCAGCATCAGCTTACATGTGCAACCTTCAGGGTTTTATGAAGACTAACAAGTTTTCAAATGGAACAGTGAACGACACGTGTTATTTCCACTGTCACAGAAACAGTGTAGTTGTGGGATTACCCGTTAGCAGTGATGTGGGAACATCAACTAACCACTTCAGCCATTAAGCATCATAGGGAGGAATAAATTACGATTCAGTGCACGTTGGCTGCCGCCACTGGCCTTTGTCATGCCATGAAGGCGTAGTGTCTTTAATGTTGTCAATCCATGATTTCGCGGTCGTCCTCTTGCTGCTGCAGCTGATCTTCTGAGATTAGATATTAAACACAGTAATTTTAGTAAGTTATTAAAAACACATAAAAACTGATTATCCCGGTACGTTTTGTAAGTTTTTTTTTATTGTTGCCCTGTAGACAGGATACATAAAATAAAACGAGGTACGGCAAAATTATATCATGCTGCCTAACACTTGTTGAGAGTGATATCGTCAGTCAAATAGACGTGTTGCGTTGTGAGGAAATCGAACGAGTCCATGCATTTGGGAACTGGTGAGATGAAAAACTGCAAATGGAGGAAAGCATACTAAATGAAATTGGCGGTTTAGACTCCATGGCGTACAGAAATTGTTTGAACTAGAGCAACATTGTTGTAGCACTATATCTTAAGTTGAACCTGATTGTACTTGTAACTGCTCTTTGACTTCATCATCATAGATAAATTGAATAGCTGTGTGAAAAGTTAAGCGCTGAGAACAGGCAAATATAAGACGGGTCTGCGTGCCAAATTTATGACTCTTAAAAAAAGTTGTTTGTCCTCAACATCATCATGTTTATTTTTCTTCTACTTCTGTTTTTTTTTCTTTTTCCACCACTTCCTTCCCCTCCTTCTTCTCATATTTTGTTTTCTTCTTAAAATCCATACTGTATGTAGCTTTGGTAATCCTGTCTGTTCACAGCATCCTACTACATTTACTGCCGATGGTCTCATAACCCTTTCAATCCCAGGGGGTTCAGCATCAGAAGCCCAGTGGATAGTAATGAAAGACGTATAATCAGAGCATCTTGCACTCGTTGGGCTTCTAGGTTGCAACATAGGGACGTATGATGTGTTTCTTGTGACTTTGATATTGAAACAAGTAGTGTCCGACATACTGCAGTTTTCACATTCTAATGACGTGCCCCAAGAAATGTGAATGTTCTGTTTCTGATGCCAGTGACACATGCTTTACTTGTTAGGTTTACTAATCTTAAAAATAAAGCTAGTTCTATTTATACATCAAAAACAAATTACTGCTGCCAGTGACTACTACTACCATCACTACTACTACTATTACTGTTACTACTACACTACTACTACTACTACTACTACTACTACTACTACTACTACTACTACTACTACTACTACTACTACTACTACTACTACTACTACTACTGCTGCTGCTGCTGCTGCTGCTGCTTCTTCTTCTTCTTTTTCTTCACATCCTTCTCCTTCTTGATGTCCATGTTTGTGTTCTTTTGTATTTTGGCCTGGTTCTAGGAGCGGGTTTATCTAAGTGCAGTCTGTTGGTTCCTAATTTCTCAGACAGATGCAGTGTAAAGGAAAGATCGATGCTATCAACACTGGCAAAGTTCCCTGTATGGATGGAAGAGGTGCAGATAGATCTTGACCAGGGTTAACCCCTGACCTGGTACACATGATTCATTCAAAAACAAACGGGAATACATATACACAAGAACAAACGTGCCCATACACTGGAATAGATGTGAATGCCCATACATTAATTGAAAAAAAAAACACGTGAATGCCCATACACAGAAACAGATGTGAATGTCTATACACAGGAACAAACGTGAATTCCATATAAAGGAACAAACGTGAATGTCTATACACAGGAACAAACGTGAATGTCCATACACAGAAACAAACGTAAATGTCTATACACAGGAACAAACGTGAATGTCCATACACAGGAACAAAAGTGAATATCCATACACAGAAACACATGAATTTCCATACACAGAAACAAATGTGAATGCCCATACACAAGGACAAATGTGAATGTCTATACACAGGAACAAACGTGAATGTCCATACACAGGAACAATGTCTATACACAGGAACAAACGCAAATGCCCATACACAGGAACAAACGTGAATACCCATACACAGGAACATACGTGAGTGTCCATACAAAGGAACAAACATGAATGTCTATACACAGGAACAAACATGAATGTCTATACACAGGAACAAACATGAATGCCTGTACACAGGAACAAACGTGAATGCCCATACACAGGAACAAACGTGAATGTCTATACACAGGAACAAACGCAAATGCCCATACACAGGAACAAACGTGAATACCCATACACAGGAACAACCCTGAATGTCTATACACAGGAACAAACGCAAATGCCCATACACAGGAACAAACGTGAATACCCATACACAGGAACGACCCTGAATGTCTATACACAGGAACAAACATGAATGTCTATACACAGGAACAAACATGAAAGTCTATACACAGGAACAACCATGAATGCCTGTACACATGAACAAACGTGAATGCCCATACACAGGAACAAACGTGAATGCCCATACACAGGAACAACCCTGAATGTCTATACACAGGAACAAACATGAATGTCTATACACAGGAACAAACATGAATGTCTATACACAGGAACAAACATGAATGCCTGTACACAGGAACAAACGTGAATGCCCATACACAGGAACAAACGTGAATGCCCATACACAGGAACAAACGTGAATGTCCATACGCAGGATGAAACCTCAATGTCCATACACGGGAACAAACCTGGATGTCCATACACAGGAAAAGACGTCAATGTCCACACACAGGAACATACGTGAATGTCTATACACAGAAACAAACCTGAATGTCCATACACAGGAAAAGACGTGAATGTCCACACACTCGGTAATACACGAAGGCAAACAGGGAGAAAAAAAAAATATCTTGACAAGACGATACCTACTGGAAACACTTTTTTGGGCGACACCTCATAACGTTTGTCCTGAAAAACTGAGAGGAACATCCAAGCAAAGGTGTTGAGCTGGCCCTTGTTGTAGAGAATGACTACAGGGAATAACTGGTCACATGACATGTCAAAGGTGATGTTGTAGTAGAAATGTATTCCTGAAAAAAAAAATAAGAACATTATGTGTATTGCTCTGTAAATAAAACCGAAAAAAGTACATATGCATAAACAAACAAACAAGCAAACAAACAAAGGAACAAACAAACAAACACACACACACACACACACTTATACATGAGACAGAGACAGACTGATTTGGATATATATATATATATATATATATATATATATATATATATATATATATATATATAGAGAGAGAGAGAGAGAGAGAGAGAGAGATAGAGAGATAGAGAGTGAGACAGAAATAGAATGACATACATAGAACTAGAGAGCACGAGCGCGCGCACACGCACACACACACACACACACATAGAAAGACTTTAGAACCTCAGAATATTACTTGAATACCTTCTCTTACCCATGTATGGAATGCACTGTCCCTGCGACCACGCCGACTGTTGAGCTTCAGACAAGGTAGACGGAATCAGAATACTTGACTCGGGAGTAGTCCCATTCTGAATGTAGAGGTTAGTTCCAGTGCCCTGGGCTGCGAATTCTTCTGTCGTACGTCCGGTGGTGCATATTTTGGCTGAAAGGCATGCCCGAATACACACACTTAACCGTGATAACAGGGAAGTCGATTTGGAGGAGTTCCAGCTGAACGCATTACAAACGTACATGGTGCAGAGACAGTTTTCAGAAGTGTAGGAGGAGGTTGTAAATACAAGAGAAGTGTACATATAAGAGCAAACAGAAGTAGATAAAAGAGAAGTGAGAGACAGAGGTAGATATAAGATAAGTAGGAGACAGAGCTAGATAAAAGGGAAGTGAAAGACAGAGGTAGATATATGAAAAGTGATAGACAGAGGTAGATACAAGAGAAGTGGGAGGCAGAGATAGATAAAAGAGAGGTTAGAGACAGAGGCAGATATAGGAGAAGTGAGAGACAGGAGTAGGTAAAAGAGAAGTGAGAGACAGAAGAAGATAGAGGAGTCAGAAGTAGGTATAAAAGAAGTGAGAGACAGGGGTAGATGTAAAAGAAATAGGAGACATGGGTAAATGAATGTAAGAGGAGGAGGAGAAGGGGAGGGGATGAGAAGAAAACGAAGACAAAAGAGGAGGATAGTTCTGCAATGAGACCTCGTTTTTGTCTTTAGACAACATCTCTAAACCTCAAAAAGGAAGCATTGTAAACGTCGGCCTAACCCCAACCAATTTATGTTAGCTATGTTGAATCAAGTACCTAATAATATCTCTACACATTAGCAGTTTTGGTTTAGGTGTTACCACATTCAATTAGTTTGTGATACTGAGGAGTGCAAGGACATCCACGTAGATGTACCGGTAATGCCTTTATACCGAATCAGGAGAATCAGCTGTACACACACGTCATAAATGTAACTGACTTACAGAGCATGTTGAGAAAGGTGGAGATAGGCGTGCTACGTGCACAGTGGCAAGCATCGCTTCCGAGGTCCTGGATAGTTAGCGTCATTTTGATATTTTTTGTAGGTCATGCCGGTTTTTTGAGAAACGAGACGGCAGATCGACTGGCCGGTTCTGCACCACTTGGTGGTGATTTGATGTATGACAAGCTAGATGTTGTGAAAGCCCTTTGGGAGGGAGTGAATAGTGTGGAGGCACAAATAGATCATTATGGTCTAAGGAGAACAGCCCTGTCAGGAATTACATGGGGATCTAGCCGACGCTCAACACTCCAGGGAAAGGTGATATGGATTTACAATCAAATAGTTACTGACACCATCGGAACTGGAACTCTTTGCTTGCTGCTGAAGATTGGGACAGAGCACTTATGGGAGTGTCCCGAGTGCTGTAATGTCGATTCCTAGTTCAACATTCGACCGAATCTGGAAACTGTGTCTACCTCTACATCTCGATTATATAAGTCCCTGTGAAGCCAGTTAGTCCACCAGGCTACACATCAACTAATTCACTAGCTAGTCAGCCAACAAGCGAACCAACCATCCAGACAACCAACCATAGATAAGCATCAACGAAAATACTATTTCGTTCATTCAAAAAATAATGCGTTTTATTATATTATATTGTATTATATTATATTATATTATATTATATTATATTATATTATATTATATTATATTATATTATATTATATTATATTATATTATATTATATTATATCATATCATATCATATCATGTCATATCATATCATATCATATCAAAGACAGTGTGTTAAGGATAATGTTATGCTATGTTATGTTATGTTATCACAATCGAAGTCACTGCACACTGTGCATTCCTATGCGGGCTCTATCCTCAGATGCTGCAACCACTCCAAGGTATTTTTTTTAACTAATTGTTCCCATGAGAGGTTTGTTATAATGTCCCCTACCTCAGAATCGAATGTGGCATAGACGTTCTTCACCATGCTTTACTCCCATGTCACGCAATCGTGTTAATGTCAGAGATTTGTCATTATCCACTAGCCCAGTCTGCATAGCATTGACTATATCTGCTCTGTCCTTGCTTCTTCCTATATGAGTTGGTTCATTGTTTGCCACCTGGTCCGCTCGCTCATTACCCTTTACACCAGCATTGCCAGGTGTGTAGATCCAGATGAGGGAGGGTAAATGCGATTTTCGAATGCATTCTACCCCATTTAAGATAAAATTTATATACCGCAGTTTGAATTCCAGCGACGTAGCCTTTGACGTCATACAGCATGATGACTGTGTAGTCTTCATCTCGGAGATATCGCTTGCCTCTCCATTTCCCGTTTACTGAGTGGGGAAAAAAAAGAGCAAATAATAAGTCCATTTTACAAGTCAATGGTTTTTCGTTGTGTATGTGTGTGTGTGTGTGTGTGTGTGTGTGTATGTGTGTATGTGTGTCAATACAGTGAAACCTCATTAGCACGAATTCCAAAGGAACTGAACCTCAGAGGTTCGTGCCTTCCCGTTGTGAGTAAAGCAGTAAAAAAAACTCGCTATAGCACTGGATTTTCAAGAGTGTGAAAAATCAAAGAAGTTCTAGTGTTAAAAATGTTGCTAACCATGGATTAAAAGATGTATTTTGAATAAACGCCTTTACCAAGCTCGAAACCAATATTTTGCTTCGCGCTTAACCCAAGTAGGTACTAGTAAATATGCCCATAATTATATTATTTAAGTAAAAACAGCTGTCTGGCCTATGTGAGTATAAACATTGGTATTGTTTGGTAGAATTTTTTTTTTTATCCTAAAGAAATGCAAGGGATAAAAAGCCCGAACTCCCCCCCCCCCACCCCCGCCCCCACCCAAACCTTTTAAAACCTTACAGGAAATAATATCTACACAGGAAGAAAGATAAACCAACACACCGTATACAAAATTTACTGCAGAAAAGATGCATAAGTGTAACAAATATATTACTTATTCCTAGTCAGAATTCAGACACAATAAACTAACCAACATCAAGTCGCTCCACATAATAAAAAGATGTAGTCGGAATTCAAGAGGGTAGTCCAAAAGGTCAGCATACATAGGCCATGGCACCTTATCTTCCCAGCGACCTGCACCTCGTTTACCTTTACTCAAGGGCTGAGGTCGGAACCAGAGAAACCAAGCGTCATTTCTTAAAAAAAATGTCTGGATCCGCCAGGAAAACTAAAACCCACGAAACCACGAAACTCACGAACTCGACGAACCACGGAAAACCCCACGAAAACCATAATGCAGGCGAAAAGTTTTAAGCCGCTACACCATGGTCTAAATGGGGCAGGATATATTTGACTGTTATATCGTTGTATTGAGTAGTGGTAGGTTTGGGACAGTAGAAAAACGTAAGCAAATAGTAGAAGCAACAGCAGCAGCAAGAGCAGCAGCTAAGTAGTAGTAAGATATGTTGTAGTAGTAGTTAGTAGTAGTCGTCGGTTACGTCGTGATGGCTAGTAGTAGTAGTAGTAGTTAGCAGTAGTAGTACAGCTAAGTAGTAGTAGTAGTAGTAGTAGTAGTAGTTAGTAGATAGTAGTAGATAGTAGTAGTTAGTAGTGTAGTAGTAATACTAATCGTAAATTTAAAGGGAGTATGTTGTCAAGTCAGTCAGTAGCCTCGTCCTTTTACAAAAACCTGTTCATTAAACAATCTCCGGAAAAACATTTCGCGATCACAAGCAAGTTGCATCCCGCGTCGGGTACACCCATTTAGATCATCCCCCCCAAATTCTGAAACCCCCCCTTTCTGTGGCATTCTTTTCCCTCTCTTACCACCAAAAACCCCCCTTATTTTTCCCCTAAATTTTCGTGATTTTTTAAAATGCCAAAAAATTTTTCAATTTTCTGGGGTTTTACCTCTTTTTTAGAAAACCTTCTTCAATATTCAGTTTTTGAAGAATTTTTTCTTTGTTTTTGAGGGTTTTTTTGGTGTTTGTGGGGGTTTTTTGGGAGCCGTAGTTTTAAACCCAAAAATTTCGTAGTAGTAATTTGTAGTAGTTGTTTCCCATTTCTTTTGTTAGAAACAGTGGGGGTTTTTGGTTAGTTAGAATTTTGTAGTTTTACATAATAAAAACTGCCTGTAGCGAAAGCCCAATTTAGGGGCCCTAAACTGCCCGCCCGATAGTCTGGGACAAACCCGCCACTGGGAAAAATTTTTTTTTAAAAAAATGTGACTCATCTCGCCCCATTTTAAAAAAGTGAAACCAGGACATTTTTTTGGGAACCCCAAAGATAAATCGATGGGGTTGTTGAAAAAATTATCTTTCAAGTGGGCGTTTTAAACAATTGCATAGGGGATTACAATGTTTTTTTTCTGGTCCCCTTTATAAAGCAAAAAGGATCACGGGGGCAACATTTCCCCCGCTATTTGAATTTTCGGGGGTTCCATTTTTAAAACCCACCCAAATTTTTTAAAAATGACCTTTGGCCCCCAGGTCGCCCCAAAACCTTTTAATAGGTCCCCGGTAAAAGTTTTTGGAAAAACTGAAGGGGGCCCAGCATAAGGGTTGAGCACACCCCCCCTTAGTATTTGATTCGTCTAAAAAATTTAAAAGGCTAGCCCTAAAACGCCCACTACGCCCTAAAAATAAAAAAAAGGCCCCTTCATTTTACAATATTTCCCAAACTTACCATCCCAGGCCCCAATCTTTCTAAAAAACCTTTCTTTGGGGAGGGCCTTTCTTGCTCAGTTCGGGGGAAATTTAAACGAAGTAGTTGGGGGTTTTGATGTCCGGTTCCAGTCCCCTCCCCAAACAAGGGGGAATAAAATTTTGGAAAAACCCCGGTTTAAAAAAAATTGAAGAGGGAATGATGGGGTGTGGGGGTTGTGTGTGATAGAGAGAGAAAAAGAAAAGAGGGGAAGAGGGGAGGGGAAGAGAAAAAGAGGGGAGAGAGAAAGAGAAAAAAGGAGAGAGGAGAGAGCATTTTTTAATGAGAGAGAAAATGGGAAGAGAGCCTAAAAGGAAGAGAAGGGAAGTAAAATTTTGAAACAGGTTAGTTCCCTTTACCCCTTTCCCAGGACGTTGCAAAAAACCCCCCCCATCTTTTTCCCCTGGGTTTTGTGTGTTTTACTGGGGCATTTTTACGTCCATTTAGTTTCCCAATTGCTTTCGGGCGGTCTGCCCCCTATACCACGGGCAAAACCCGCAAGGGGGGCAGGCCCCCCCCGGGATAAAAACCCCTTTACCCCCGGAAATTACGAAGGTTGCTTTCAAATTAGCCACAGACCCGACAGAGTTAAAAAAAACTACCCCAATATTTTTTACCAGTAAAAACACAGTGTTTACATTTAAACCACTATCAAACCTACCACTACATAAAAAAAACAGCAAGCCAAAAAAAAATAAAAAAACTACGACGACTGTTTCCTTTTACTACTGGCCATTTTGTTTAAATCAAAGCCCCCCACGCAAAAAAAACAAAAAGCAATAAAACAAAAATTTACACCACCAGCAAAAAAAGTTTACTACTTTTATTGCAACTACTCCCCTTTAAATAAAACTAAAAATTGGGGTGGCTGAAAAAATACCACTGATTTTGCAAGGCAAACTAAGGAGCAGTTAAAAACAGTAAAAATCGACGCCTCCCAGGGGTCCAGGTTTACATTAATTTGTCCCAATTTAGAAAAACACTTATAACAAAAAGGCTGAAAAGCTCTCGAAAAAAACACGAAAACCTGGGTTTTTTTTTTACAAGTTTGACAGTGGTAGGCAAAATCGAGATAGACATAATTTCCCAGCTAATATAATTTGTTGGGAAATTTTTTTAAATTTTTAAAATATAACGTAAGGCCCTTTTTCCGGGCCTTTAAAAAAAAGGGGGCGTAAAAGGTTTGGGTATTTTGTGACCTTTAACGGGACTTGCAGACCCCCAAACCCCCAGACCCCCTGGCGGGTTGGGGGTTTCTCTGGGCCAAAATTTTCCGCCCAAGTAGTTTCCCATTTTTTTGGACGGGGGCCCCCCCCTATACTACTGCCCAAAAACCCAAACAAGGCGCTTTTTCCCAAAAAAGGCTAGCCCTATTTTTTAAAATTTAAAACTGGCAAGGGGTTAAAATGATGGGCCGAAATAAACATTTGCCCCCCTTCCCCCCCAGATCGATTTTTAATGGGACGAAAAAACCCTCCCGAGATAAGTCTTTTTGGGAAAACCCAAAACATTTTAGAGGGGGGTTAAAAACCTTTTTTTCCCGGGCTTTTGTTTCCTTTTAAAAACCCCCAAAACTCTGGGGCTGGCTCAAAACCCCAGCCGCCCTACGCCCCAAACTAGGGGAGTGCAAGCCTGGGTTTCCAACGCCGGCATGCACCCTTGGCCCCACAAATTTGCAGGGCAGCCTTTTAACCCCCCATTAAAATATTAGCCTTTGCCCCGGAGGGGGGGATTTTTCTTTTTTGCGGTAGGATTTTAAGGAAACCCAACCTAATATTTTACTATGGGAAAAAGCATGTAAATTTCATGTCCACACCCCTTTTTCCCCAAATAATTACTACCCAGACTAAACGATGGGGTTTTTTTCCACCACGAGACCAGGGGAAATTGACAAAGTTTTGACAGTACATTTTATTTTAAATTTTCTTCCTGTCTGTTCCCTTCATACACCCAATCATTTTCCTTTTTGCCCAATTTTTTTCTTTAAACCCCAACCCCCCCCCCGTAAAAATTTTCCCTTTGGGACTTCCATAAAATTTTACCATTCATGCCCCCCCCTTCATTTAATATCTTTTTTGTAGTAAATGTTAAACCGTTTAAATTTACTCCAACAAATTTAGCCATACAGAAATTTTTTCCTAGGAACTCAAAAAAACCTCCATCTTTAAAGGGTTTTCTACCCTAATAAAGCTTTTCAAAGGGACGCTTTAAAAGTAGTTTAAAAAACTGGTTTAAAAAAATTTCAAATTTAAAAATTCCCCCACAAGATGGGGGACAAACCTCTTAACCCTTTCCCTTTTTGGGTTCTGTAAAGGGAAACAAATGCAAAAAGAAGTAAACTAAATGAAAAAAATTTTAAATTTAACGGGTTTTAAATTTTAAATTTAAAATTTAGTTTTTTCAAATTACTTTATAATTTCATAGTGCATTAGGTATCCTCCCAAAAGGGGCATCCCGGGTATCCCCAAAATTGCCCCAAACAACGAATTAGACATCCCTTTTTTTCTTTCTTCTTCTTCTTCTTCTCTTCTTTCTCTTCTTCTTTTCTTCTTCCTTTTTCCTTTCCTTTCCCTTTTCTTCTTCTTTTCTTGTCCTTTTTTCTTCTTCCTTTCCTATCTTTCTTTCATTATCTTGGCCCATCATCTCATCATCATCATCTCATTTTTTCCCTTTCTTCTTATGTTTTTTTTTTATTATTATTTTAATTATTATTAATTATTTTTATTATTAATTTTTTAAAATTTTATTATGGTTCCCCCCCACAAAAATGTTTTAGCTTTGCGTGGGTGGGGTTTAGCCTGGGGCTGGTTACTTTTGGTCCCTTCAGCTCAAAACATCCCATTTCAGGAAAAACCTTTAATTTGTTGCTTTTTTTAAGGGACAGGGTTTTTTAAAAATGGCAATAGAATTGTATCCCCCCCCCCCCCCAAACCCTCCCCAAAAATAGTGGCCCTAAAAAAAATACACGGTTTTTACTATTTTAATTAAAAATTTTTCAGTCCCGAAAAGTTTAAGGGGGGAAAACCCCCCGGGTACAAAAATTGGGTTTTCTTTGGTATCAGAAATTCCCCTTACCCCGATCAGATTTCAGCACGAAAAATGGGTTTTCAAAACCCGAAACTTCCCCACATCCCGATCGCTTTAAGCAGTCTCTGCCCCGGTAAAAGGGAAAAATTTACGGGGCTTAATACAGGGTTCCCCGGGGTATGGGCGCAAACCTTTTGGGGGTGGGAACGGGGCCTTTCACGGGGGTCGCCTAAGCCCCTTTGGGAAAAAAATTAGGGTAGAAAAGTCAAAAAAAGGAAGGCCCAAAAAAACGCTATGGGAGGGGCCAAAACTTAGTTTTTTATTTTTCTAAAGGTGTCCCCTTTAAAAAAAAAATAATTTTGGGGGGTTTTTTGGGGGAAAAAAAACCCCCTCAAATAAAATTTTTAACGGAAATTTTTCCGTATTTATCCCTTAAAAGTTTTCCACCCGGGAAAACCCGGCGCATACAAAAAAAATTGCATGACCCCAATTGGCTTTTTTTGGGTTCATAAAAACCCCCAAGGGGGAAAGGACTTTTCTTGCGCATAAGGGCAGAAGTTTAAATTTAAAAGGTGAAAATTTTTTAAAAAAACAGACCCACGTTTCCCTGTTTTGGGAAACATTAAATTCTATCCAACCCAACTTTTCCCCAGATGAAAAAAATTATTTAATTTTCCCCCCCTTTGCTCTAGGGCTGTAATTTTAACCACACCTTTCCTCATTTGCAAAAACCCACTAGGGGGGTTTAAATTTTGTCTGCTGAACCGGGCAGTAAAAATTTTTATCAGATCATAGGGGATTTGTTCCCTTTTTGGTTTACTCGTTTTGTTTCCCTGGATGGGGTTTTTTGTTTTGGGCCCCTAAAAATAAAATTTCCCATTTTTAAAAATTCATGTATTCTTTTTTGTCAATTATTGACTGGCCCTTTGCCCCCGAATGTAAAAACAAATTTGTGTCAAATAATATTTGGGACTTACTGTTAAAATATTCTTTGGGTTCTCAGGTAAAAAACGCAAAGACGGCTTTCATTACCCATCCAGTGCCGATTGGTCTGTAAAAATATGGGACGCTCTTCCCATATACCCGATGCGCCTAAGACGTGAAAAGGGATCTTTACTTTAAGTTTTTTTTACTTACAAGACAAGCATTCTGCCTTCAACTATTCAATCAGTATACGAAAAGGAACTCACGTGAAAGGGAAGCTGTGATGAATGTCGCAAAGAAGACAAGAGCCAACATCTTCGTATCCTGTGTTTTGCTTTTGTTCCCAAAAGTGGTGTTTTATTTTCGAACTAATAGTTGACAAACAGGTGCTAGAAAAAAAAAATGTTGTTGTTAAAAGACTCTAGTCATCGTTTCAGCCCACGGCCTTCTGACACATGTACAGCAATACATTTTGTTTCAATCTCTGAGGCGGTCGGGGCTGACACATATCACCTTCATATTCGTTCCAGGTCGACCCAGCCTTGAGTAGGTACCGGGTGCAGTCCCGGGAAGTAAGGCGGCCGGCATGATGCTGACCACATCACCCATCTTAAGCCGATTGATTTATAAAATATAGTTCTAGCCCTATTTGTCCTTAAGGCATGGAAAAGAGTCCTTTACTTGTTTGACTTACATTTACAAACTGCTCATAACAACAAACAAACAACAGCAAAGTTAACGCCTTTTAATTTCATAAATAGTTTCAAATATATTTTATTTATCTTTCAACTAAACTGAAACAAAAAAATGTTGGCATAAAGGATTATTCCAAGTTTAAACTCATATTCGAAACTGATTGACTCCAGTCTTTGAACTTCCTAACGCCCCCTGTGAGCTCCCCAGCGTGGCGCCCTCGATTTTAGAATGTTTAAATAAAACACTAAATGAACCTTAAACAACACAGCTTTATGTCAGAAACATACCTTGACTCCCGGATCTTTGCAGTCTAAAATAGTTACAATGAAATATTATGGACAGTAAAAGTGAAATGAGCTGCGAATACCAGTTCGTCTATAAAATATGTGATTAGCACCATCTACCTTAGAAGCGTACTGTCACATACCTGGTTCAGATAAAGGCGTTAAAACACCCGCATGTACATGACTTACTCAAAATACGGTCCAGTGATGTGTACTTATCTCGTAAAAGCTAAGCAGGCGAACTGTAATTTATTACTGGAAGCCGAACCCGCCTAGTGTCTAAATTGGCTAATTAACGAGTTTTGTTTTACGTACTTTTTTTTTAAACGCTAGCAACACACGGCAGATGTTTTGTTGCCCGTATTTTCAGTTACAGGACATTATGCTAGGTACCTCCCCTATCAGCGGTCGGACAACTTTATGTGCCTCTGGCTAATGAGCTATATTGAAAGTGGAAACAGTTATTATGTAAGTGAGGGACAGCCCTTGTTCTGTAATGTATAAAAACACATATACACGGTTACATCTGCAGGAGAGTAACAGCGGGTGAAACTACAAAAGAAGCCGACTTCATCAATATACAAAGATAATGCAATTATTATTATCGTATTCAATTCAACGATAATAGTAGGCTGGAACTTGTCAAGGAATTAAGCAACACAACAAGTTGCACTAAATACTGTATAATGTATGCCTAACAGAAAGCCATCAAATGATATCAGGAAGCCACCATACTTAGCATAAAGCTGCAACCAAGCTAAAATTTAGAATTGACGAGGCCTCAATGTACAGCTGGTGAGGCCTTGAAATGTCTAAGCTATATGCAGATTTGATATCTCCGGTTTAAAAACAAAAATTGCCAGATCTTACAAAGTATTTATGATTTTACGTTTTCCGCATAAGAAAGAGAGTGGGTTATACAAACGTTAGTCTCCCCAAAACAAAGCAGATCACGTTCAATTCATAAATATACCTTCCTGCAGGTTACAGGTGTGCCGCTTTGTTGTGTTCTTTCTGTGTTGTCTTGCAATTGCGTTTTTATTATAAGAAAGAGAATGCCTGTGACATAGGTTTCATCACTCTCTAAAGGGGTTTTGTGTTAGACCCAAATATACAACAAGCGAAATCAACGGTATTGCGGGAAACCTC